TGGCTGCCATCCTGACAGAGGTATTATGATTGAGGTACAGCGCGGGGTGTTGTGGCAGAGGTCTGCTGATGGATGGATTGACATATTCCCGCGGCCTCTATTCATCTTCCTCAGCCTTGTTTCGGGCAACTGGCGTGCCGACCAGTTGCTGGAGCGCTTGGCGTGCCAGCATACTTTTGACTATCGGAAGCGCTTTCCGTTCCTTGCTGCCCAACGAGAGGAATCAACTGTTTTTTGGCTTGGAGCCCCACAGGGGGGCGAGGCACACAGAAGCCTGGGCGTGCCGTCTGGGCGGTTTCGGCCAAACCCGCCACCGTGCCCGAGTTCTGGGTCGGATCTCTTGGGATCTCTCGGGATGCTTATCGGGAGCCTCTTGGATGCAGTCTTGAAGCCTTTCGGGGCTTCTTGGAGCTTCTTTGGGCCTCTTGGGGGCTTCTGTGGCCTCCCGGGGGCCTGTAGGGCGCCTGCTGGCAGTCTCAGGGGGTCATCTTGGGGTGGAGGGCTCGAAACGGCAGTTCGTGTTTCCCTTTGTGGGTCCCTTCTTGAGGTGTTGCCAGCTCCCTTTTGGTCCGTCTTGGAGGCTTCTTGGGTCGGCTTGGCCCTTTTGGGCTGTCTTGCAGTTCTCTTGGGGGCCTCTTTGGTCGTCTTGGGAGCATCTTGGAGGCCTCTTGGGCAGTCATGGAGCGTCGGATGGCCGACGGGTTGGCGACTCTTGGTTCGTCTGGAGGCCATCTTGGGCGTCTTGGAGCGATGTTTCGGCGACTCGAGGCTCTCGTGGACCGTCTTGGGGGCCGTTCGGGGCCCCCTTGATGCGTTGTTGACCCCTCTGGGGCCCGAAACGGTGACGCGGCAATACGCGGTAAGGCCCACGAGCCACGCGCCACGCCCCGGAAAATTAGAATTTGGTATCCGGGTCGCTGAAAGAACCTTAGGACAGAGGACCGAGGACCCCCAGAAACCTAAGGACACTCCAAGTCTGACCTCGCGGCACGGTGGCGGATATTCACACAGAAACGTTAGCACACAAACGTTCACACACGTACACACGTTCGTTCACACACACACACACAGTTGCGGCCTGGCCAAGAGCGTCGTGTACGGGGGACCCGTCAAGCCCAGCGTGCCCTCTCGGCCAGCGCCGTGGGCCGCGGGCGGCAAAGCAGCAGGATCGCTCTCGGTCCAATTGCTCGAGATGCAGAAGCAGGTCCAATCGCTCACGTCGCAGCTCAAGCAGGCGAAAGCCAAGCCACCCGAGTCAGCGATGCCCACGGCGGGAGCGGAGCAAGGGGAAGGTGATGCGGGAGCTGAGTCGGTTGTCAAGAAAAGATTGGACGAGTTGGACGGCTTCGTCAGGCAGCTGGCTGGGATACACACGCCAGAGGTTGAGAAGCTGGTGGAGCAGTACAAGTCTGAGCAGGCCAAGCTGCGTGCGCAGCTGTTCCAGGAAAAGCCGCCCTCGCAGCGGCTCAAGTCTCTTGGTTTCAAGATCACCAAAGTCGAGCAGCAGATCACCAAGCAGCAGACGGCCCGTGAGCTCAAGCAAGCGCAGCTGGCGGCCCTGCAGGCGGAGATCGTCACGCAGGATGCCGCTTTGGCCGAGTCCCGCAAGCAGCTGCTGGAGCTCGAGGGCCAGCGGGCCCAATTGGTTGGTGCGCTGCCGCAGGTTCCTACAGCGGCTCCTGGCGCAGGTGCTGGCGACGACGAGAGCAGTTGGACAATGCCCAAGTTGGAGCAAGTCCTACTTGCTGCTGAGGCTCCTCCTGACCTGCTACAGGACGTGGCCAAGGTGGTGGACAGGATGCGACAGCATCGGCAGGCTCAGGAGCAGGAGCGCAAAGCTCATGCCGAGCGCGAGGCCACCCAGGCTCAGCAGGAGCACGCCGAGGAGGCAGCAGCCAGAGTTGACGCTGCCATGGAGGAGGATGAAGGCGATGCCCAGGAGGAAGAGTCCGTCAACCAGGCCACAGCCGAGGAGCTGCGCGAGTTCCTACGCGAGTCTGGTGCTGACTTTCCTAACGCTACAGATGCATCAGAAGAGGAACTTCGTGCTGCAGTCAAGCGAATCCGTCTGGCCAAGCCCAAGTGGAAGGTGGTCAAGAAGCCACGCACAGCCTGAGCACACACTGTTGTCAGTCATGACGCGCAGCAAGCTACAGATAACTACCGTCAACGCCAACTCGTTTGGCACCCTGTCCAGGTACCTCGCCGATTGCAGCAGCGACGTGGTCTTGGCGCAGGAGCACCATGCAGGTGCCGAGAAGCTCCCTGAGGTCCAGGGAGATGCCCAGGACTCGGGCTGGAAAGGAGTGTGGTGCCCCGCGCCGGCCACAGCGGCTGGCGGCACGGAAGGCGGCGTCGCTGTCCTGGCCAAGACAGACATCTCCGTCACAAAGGCGCCGCTGCTGGATGACGGGGTCATTGTGCCTGGCAGGGCCGTGGCAGCCCACGTGCATGCAGCACTTCCTGGCGGCTTCGTCGCTGTGGCGCTGTACCTACACAC